ATATATATATTTTGAATGGTAGTGTTCATGCTTCAAGTATTGAGTCTTCCCAGAATCTGAGGTATTCAGTGGATAATTCATGTTGTCCCAAACCTGTATGACTGACTTTCATCAGTGGAACACAAAAATGTTTCTGATATTTTGAAGAACTTGTGCACATAATGGAAGTCTATTAAGGTCTACATAATGGAAGTCAGTAGGGTCCAAAACAACACACAACCACCTTTGACTTTCATCGTATGGAGAAAAAAAAAAAAGAGAAAAAAGAAAACTGAGATCATTTGTAAAGTATCTTCTTTTGTGTTCCACAACATCATGGTGTGTAAATGATCAGAGAATTTCCATTTTTGGGTGAAATGTTCCCTTAACGGTCCAGATGAAGATGTTCAATATCTGGTTGTTACCTCTCCATGGCTTTAGCGGTATAAGGCAGGTGCATTTCAATGCTGTGTTCATCTTCGTCTGTCTGCAGACTCATCCTCTCAAACAGGCCTGTTTTCCACAGATCAGCATAAACTGCCAGAGAAAAAGATGGGGCAGGGAGAATTAAAGCCCTTGTGTTTTGAACTGAGGAGTTACAAAGATAATTACACAAAGCCTCATTAATATGAACATCATCAAATAAAAGATTATCTCATATTTCTGTTGCACATTTGTCATGTTTATAGCCACAAAACTATCGCATAATAACAAATTTAGTCATTTACAACTTGGAAAATGTTGCAATCTCTTCTGCAAAGCTCCGTTTGAGAGCAAATGAGCAAAAAAACATTCTGGGCGACACCTTTCTGTGCATTGTTATTCAATCAGCATTTAATCCTGCCAAGGGAGGAAATGAGATTGCTTACCCTTCTGGTCGATCCTCAGGTCATACAGTGGCGTTCTGTAGACCTCGGCGGGGGAGAGGGCACAGCGAGACAGCGGCACATGGTGAGAGGGGCCGAGTATGAACACCCTCCGACTGATGCATAAGAGAGCGCTGCAGTTACCTCTCTCCCCTCGGAAAACTCAACATTATGGCTACTTCAAGAGAATTTAAAGAAGCTCTGATGACAGGAAGGACACTTACGTGATGGAGGGGTCCACCTGCTTGTAGGCGTGGGCGGCACATGCGCCGCAGTAAGTGTAGCCAGCGTGCCTGCAAAAGACAGTGGTTTTAGAATGCAGAATCACAACTGAAACAGAAGAAAAAAAAAAGATGTTTGTCTGCTTTCACTCCACATACGGTGCTATAATGGCTCTAGCTGGACCAGCTGTAGATTGTGCTTGAGATAACCAGCCCTCGAGTTGTGCATTAAGCTGGGATCCTAATTGTAAAGACAGGAAAATGTCATTAGGAAATATGAGAGAAGCAGACATAATTTTACAACTTTGAAACTTCAGCTGGGAAGATTATTTGAACATCTTCCAAATGTATTTTGTACAGTATCAATTTCACCATGTAGAAATATTTTTGAAGCATGACAAGTTTATAATCTATTCATTATATATTACCGCAAAATTTGCAGACAAAGAAAATGAAGCCTATTTTAGCATAATTATGATTTTTATGCATTATTTTCATGACAAATATTGTGTAAAACAAATGTTCAGATAGACTTGTAAGAAAACATTCTCTCTTTTGCTGTTATATAAAAATAGCACTATGAAAATGTGCTTATTTGTCATTAAGCACATTTTCATCCCTAATGTTCATTGTTGTAATGCAACAACAACAAAATTCGCTACATGCTAAAAGATTTTATAATCAAGCATTCATCAATGGATTTCTCTATTTCTAATTATAAATCAGTCAAACAAACAATGACTCGGTAGGTGAAATGGCTGTCCTGAATGTTGATTTGAGCAATATTTCAGCCTCAGACAGAGCCGTTGTTCCAGTCCTAATGACTTTCTTATCAGAGTATGACAGGACAAGATAACATTTTTGAGAACCAGTGAACAGATGAAGTTCAGCTGATTCTGTAAAAGGAATAATAAGAATACAACTAATTTGGTCCAATTTTAGCAGTTGTTAATCAAATCTCTACACTGTAATGAATCATACCATTACATCACTAATGATATTCCAAAGAGCAGCCAGAAAATATGCTAGCTCAAAAAGTATATGCCTGTGCTGAAACTGCGTGCCCAGTGAAGGAGTATTTTATATAATCTTGATATAAATGTGAGACATATAAGTAACGATACGCAAAAATATAAAGGGGTTGAGGGCTGAGGCTGTGAAGAACAAAGATCCAGTTCATCCGCTTGCTGCCAAGTTTGTCTCTGTTATCCGGATGGGCTAGTTTGGCCCATCTCGGCTTCCGTTCTGTCAGAAAAACTGGGCGGGGAGAGTTGATTGACTGACTGAAGCGAAAGACTAATTGGTCGATTAGGATCAGGGGCGTTTCCAAAGAGATGCATATGTAGATAACGCTTTTATGATTGGATAGCTCAGTGTGTTTGGCTAAAACTCATTGGCGGAAAACAGATGTGGGCGTGTATTCAAATATCGTTTTGTTGAAAACATTTAGCTTTTGTAACATTCACATAGGATTAAAGACACTTTTGGTGTTGAAGAAATGTACGATTTTTTAAGTGAAACGATAGAAGAGTGATTGTGTCTTTTGCTTTATGATTGTCAAATTGCACACTTTGGAAAAATGTCACATAACTGACAGTAAAAGACGTCGTTTGTTATTGTGAACAAAATAAAAAGCATTGACAACATGCTAAAACTTATCATTTTTTATTCACAAATGTATATCTAAATCTATCCCATTTTATAAGGATTTTTGTTATGAGTTTGAGTTAAAACACAGATATACAATAACCTAACTAGACAAAATCTGTATATTCTTTACAAGAGCATCCTATAACCTGTTCATCGTCGACGTCATCGTTTAATTTTATATATATATGTGTGTGTGTGTGTGTGTGTGTGTGTATTCTCTGTAACTCAATTTCAATATACATTCTGACTGACTGCAGTTTACCACCAGAGGGCATCGTTGCATAGAAAATGAATTACCTGCCCTTTTTTACTGGTATAGTCGGACAGTTTGTGCAGAGCAAGTTTGTTTAAATAATAAATCAGGTAACAGATCTGCTGCGCTACGAATAATACGGATGTATCCAAGTAAAATCAATCAGTCGGGTCGTCAGCTAATTGTCTTTATATCAGACTTTAACAACATTCATTGTTTTTATAGACATTAAATTATATTTGCAGTAAGCCAGAGACACAAAACTTCCACAATTCGTACATCGTGTCAGAATGTACTCTTTTCGCCGTACACTGTACTCACAAAATAAATAAATAAACAAATCAAATCGTCCAAACAAGCAAAACAACAGCACAAGACTCTAGAGACTTTGGTACACACGTTAGCAATTGTCCTTTCTGGTGTGCCGTCCCGTTCCGTTTCCACAGCAACAAGGACGCAATAACTGCTGGGTCACAGACCAAAAACTGGAGTTTCATTTACTAACTCTACATACAGTATAATTATATATGGGTTGCATTTGTAAAACTTAAACAGCAATACATTTTACTTTCAGGTAATGAATGGAATACTTTTGCAGCTGATGTCATTGGCACTTTCCACAAAACTGTAAGGCTAGTTTTCAACAGATGGTCAGTAAAACAGCAGGTGGGTAACCGTCAGACGACCTGCGGATTCGTCTTAACTGGGCCAGTTTGATGTCATCTTGACCTGCTAAACATTTAAGCATGGTTTTCTATTTAGATTTTCTCATTGTGTGTTGTTACAGGGGATTATTGGTGACTCCATGGCTGCTGTGCAGTATTTTATTGAGAGGTTCTCTGTGACTTGCAACAAGCCAGTGTCCCACCTGCAGCTGGCCTGCTGTCCTTCTCACTGTGCTGTCCCATGGCAGGACAAGGGCATAAGGATTTACGAAAACAACAACCTGGAGGTCTTTGTTAACCTATATCTATTTTCAACAAACAAATACAGTGGGTACGGAAAGTATTCAGACCCCCTTAAATTTTTCACTCTTTGTTATATTGCAGCCTATAATTACTGTCAATTGATTGAAAAAATGAACTAATTTATCACACATTTTGCTGTAATCAATTGCATCTAACATTAAAATGATATATTTTCACATTTAATTTCCAAGTTAATGTAGAAAAAACATAACAGTGTATTTTAAATATTTGTTCAATGGCATCTTTTTACTATGAATTATGAATGAAGGCAAGTACCACCAATACCATATTAATGTATCTATTTGTTTTTTGTTTTTTGTTTTTTTATCAATTTCCGGGGATAAAGAGTAAATATAGCCATTTAGCTTTACAGTGTTTGTGCCATCATTTCTTTTCTTTTTTATTATGCAAGTAAAGATTGTGACAATATTTACATGTGTCAAGTACAGGACAAACAAACATATATACTAACAGCCAACATTGCAAGTCTATTCTGACAACTCCTGTATGTGTTTTCTTGTGTCTGTGAGCGTGTGTGTGTGTGTGTGTGTGTGTGTGTCTGCGCGCATGTGTGAGTGTATCTAGGTGTGGGAGGAAACATATAAATCAGAGATGATTGTGCCATCATTTCTAACATTTAATAGAACTAAATTGTTACAGAACAAAAATATATAAATGTAATTTTAATGTTTTCTGTAGCCTCCCTTGGAACTCATTGGCCACCATGGCGATGTGTCTGCCATGGTGTTTGGGACGTTGAGAGATCGTCTCGTCCTCTGTAGTGCTTCTGAAGATTATGTTATCGTCTGGGACATTGATCGCTGCTACAGACAGATCAAAGAAGGTAATAATGCATGCAAAGACCTTGATTCAAAAACAGACTGAAACAATCTGCTCGTCTGCAGAGCATATAAAACTGTGACACTTAAGAATGCTCTACTCTGGAATAGAATGTAGCCACTATTCTCTGTCAGTCACTTTTTTGTCTCATCTCCCAAACATGACATCTGTGTTCCAGGTGTAATTGCCTCAGGTAGAGTTGTTGGCACATTGCTCGGCAAGGTGGAGCATCTGTCACTGTGTCCACTGAGCGCAAAATTGACCGCATGCTCAGGCTCCAGAGTGTTTCTATTGAATGCAGAGGTATGAAATAAGATACACACGATTTTTATTCAGTGAATCGAAAACAAAAGCAGTTATGCTGAAACAGTAAAAAGATAAAACAAATGCCTTTTTTGACCCGTCTCCAGATGAAATGCGAACAAAGTCTGCAATGGAGAACATTCCGTTACCCAGACTGTGATTGACCAACCCATAAAAATGAGAGATAGCATTGAAATACTCATAGGAAACCAGCAGTAAATTAGTGTACGAAAAAATCACAATAAGCCCCTTGTTGGCTTCTGTCTTGTATATCAGAAATAAACGGTCATATCACATTCAAACAGTATTTGTCTGCTTAAGCCACACTTAAACTTAAGAACATCTTTGCATTATGTAATAAAACACGTTTCAATTAAATTATAAAACAATTAACATATTTCTAAATAAAGACCCAAATTTGGGGCCACTGTATATGTGTTTCCTATAGAGAGAGGATGTGCTTGGAGTTTTGAAAGCTCATCTTGGTCCTGTGACTGCGTCAGAGTTCTGTCCATGGGACGTTAATCTTCTCATCTCAATCTCAGAAGACAGAACATTTAAGGTACAGATACGATACTAACCCAAACCAGGACACCCTGACTGTACCTGTCCTAAATATGGACATGTGTTTGTTGTATTACTGTTCAAACATTTGGGGTCAGTATGATATAAATGTAAGATATACATTTTATATATACTGTAGATATATATGCGTATGCCTTCTTTTTCTTTTTTGTATTAGATTTGGGATGTGAAGAAGGGAGATATACTCTTTGAATCTGCTGTCCTGTCAGGTCGGTTTATAGTTATTAACACCAATATTTATACAACAGAAATTGAGGTTGTTCATAGTCTGTAAATGTAGAGAATATATAGTGAAGATGCTGAAGTTTTTTTTTTTTCCACAGCGTATCCACTGCTTAGTCTGTTCTTCGTGGAGCAAAACAGTCAGTTCATCATAGGGTCTGGTGATGGACAGGTGAGTAACACACACACACACACACACACACACACACACGCTTTCAGCCTCTCTTTTGTAATCTATATATCACTTTGTTTATGTTGGAATCTCTTTGTGATTCAAGCTTTGGTGCTACACTCTCCCTGTGGACCACAAATGCCGCTTGGTGACAAAACTGGACCTTTCGAAGCTCGAACAGAAGCATGAGAGAAACCTCAGAAAAACCAGCTCACCTCAAAATAGACCAGATGGTTAGAAAAAAAAACCCACAAGCCACAATTCAGACTGCGTATAACTACTGTTTTTCATGTGCCTACCTCACTGCGGAAAAAAGATACATCTGCTTCAAGTGGAAAAGATCTCACTGAGCTTCATCTGTGTGCTTTTATAGGAATGACTGGTAATGAAGTGAGAGGAACAGTGGAGACAGCAAAGCCTGTTCTGAAAATCTGGGCACAGAAACTGCAGTCCAGTCATGCTAGCCTTCAGCAGAGGTACTGTCTTTGGTCTGTTTTTGTTGTTCACCTTTATCTGCTTGAGCACTTGTTGAAGTTTTGGGGTAAGAATCGATGTAAGGCAAACATGAGAAGGTTATGATGTGCATACCAAATATTTTGATTTGTAGTTGGCCATTTTCAGTGCTGTTCGTTTGCAACTGCAGCATGTTATTGATCAAATCTTATCAGGTGGCCAAAATGTATTCACAAACACACAGTATGTATGATAACAGTCATAACTATAGTAGTCATGACATTGTAAAGTTGTGGCAGTGATATACAGCATGGTACACCTGTCTTCACAGGCATAGGAAATAATTTTTCAACGGATATTTCTATGGTCATGGCAGGAAACTTCCAATTAGGAAGTCATTATACTCCTATTTATGGTTTCATGCTGTCCAAACAGCAGTTACAGCTATGAAAAGATGGTTGCAAGCACTGAACTTGAAAACTTTTGAAAATCATGCCATTATATGCTGAAATGTGTAATATCATGTTGTAAACACTGGTGGAGAAATGCCTGCAGACCCAGAAAGTAAAGGATACAAAGGGAGAGGCAAAGTCATAAAAATCACTTTGTTTTCCAAAGCATAAATACTAAAAACTTTGAACATTGACAAAAGCCTTTTATTTTATTACATACTCATGTTTAGTTAACCGTCTGTGCATGAATTCTTCATATTGTTATTCACAGATTCATAGTGATTCATAGAAAAAAAAAAAACGTTACCTCAATAACTCTAGTTAATTGGACAGGAGAGATGACCCTTGACCTCTGCCACTATAATTTCCACTGCAATAACTTAAATCAAGTTTTTCAAAGCTTTAGTGCAGTTCTCAGAGCAAGCTTGTGCAATATCTTATCATAGATTCAATGAGTTTCAATTAAATTTGACAGGCTTTCATAGATGTTCTCTATAGACTGTGTGGCAATGTGGGTGTGAATTCCTATAGTAGGTCTATACAATACAGATCTTTTTTTCTTTTCTTTTCTTTTCTTTTTTTCTGTTGTACCCTTTTACATTAACCAGGCCTTAGTTCTTTGTAGTGTCTTTTGGTAAACAGTCTCTTCTTTGTACATTTTCCATAGAGGAAGTTGTGTGTGGATCGGAAGTTCTGATGGGCTCTATCTGCTTGACCTGGATACTTCAGAGCTTCTCATGATTCTTCCACTCAAAGGCATCATAAGTATTCAATTAACTCTCAAACATAAACATGTTTTAGGTTCAAATTTAGCAATTTTTCAAGTAAATATTTGACCCATTATATTTTTACATGCGTATGTTTATTAGTAAAAAAAATAGTAACATGTTAAAAAAATTTACCTTTAAATAGCAAAAAATATGACACAAATAAATGCAACAGTGGCCTTAGTGGTCAACAAAACTTTAGAGTGTAAGTAAGCTTCTGTGTGATAACCAGTTAAGGATTCGGTCTCCTAGCTTGGGAT